GATTTGCAGCGTGCGAATTCACATCTATTCTTTCTCCACCACTTCTTGGAACCCTTGTATCATCTCGTAGAACTCTCCTGTCTAGGAAGGGCTTAGTGAAAATGCTGTTGCCACTCGCTAAGCGAGCCCATTCTATAATGAAGTGGAATGCACTCTGTCCATCAGCAATTATATGTGAGATGGCTATGCCGAGAGCAATGTTCTCATCTTTGAATTTTGTCACTTGTATGGCCAACAATGGGAGATTTTCCATATCATTGTAGTTCAGTGAAGGGACAAGATTATGAAACATTGGGCTTGGTGAAAAATCTCCTATTTGATCAAGAGTTTCCTGACAAACTGCTTCAAGTAGTTGAGCTCCGGCGGAATTGCAATTTAACTCCATTCGTCCAACTTCCATTAGCACTATCCGTCCTGCTAAAGGGTAGAAGTGCACTAGAGCCATGGCCAACGAGCTCTTTAGTTTATTAATGAGGGAGCCGTCTTGTGTGAATTGTGGTGGAGGAGGTTTGTAGAAATGAACAGTGGGAATATGGATTAAAAACCCAGTTTGATCAAATAGGCTCAATGGCATATGACCTTGGAATGTTGGAGCAGATGGCTTTACTAAGTAAGAATTTTTGAACGTAATGTTCAATTTTTGTTCCATTTTGACAAGAAATGGAGAAGAAGGTGGTTCGAGGATAGCAAAGGAGTGGCAAAGGAGGATTTCAGAAGTCGGGAGTTTTTATTGGTGATGGTAATATGAAGGGCGAAGTACATTATAGCTCACTAAACACACAACCCAATTGGGGCTAATGGGCTATATGCGAAATGTTCAAAATAACCCTTCAAAACACTTTCAGGAGTTTAATGGGTTGTTTGGAACGAAAAAATGTTTAATGGGCAAAATGAAACTTTTGAAAAATTTAGTGATCTTCGGTGAACTTTATAAATGGTTCACAAATGATTTCGACTTAATGAATGGTGATGAAATTTAATCAGTTCCTTTAGAACCATTTAATAATGGATCTAAATTGATGGATTTAAATGGTTTAAATAAAAAATTAATTAATTATTTATAATCTATTTAAATATTTTGGTTATTTTATTGTTTTACCATTTTTGGTACTATATTGATACTTTTTTTATGTATGTGTTAATTTAATAGGTTCATTTGGGTGAGAAAGAGCGCAAAGCACTTAGATTTTTATATAAAAAATTTGAATAGTTGTAAACTAGTTTTTCAAAAATAATATGAAATACATTCAAAAATATCACAATTTTTGCCATTATCAACTCCCTCACATTTGAATCATTGCTTATCCTCAAGCAATATCAGCAGCAACACAGCCAATGATCCAAATGCCTAGTCAAATAATATGCTTTTTCAAATTCAAATCTCATAACTAAGTAATCACCCGTTATAGAGTCATTCAAATTTTATTAAATACTCATAATATCTAGTAAAGGAAAGACAATTATACTTGAATTTAGCCATGTTCACTTCAATCTCTCACCCTAGCCTAACTCCACAAATAAGCAACTCATATAGTCAAAAGATAGTTAACACTCTCTCACAACCATCTTTTCCTCAAAACTTAAGTTTAAAGAGGGAATTATTCACACAAACTATCAACAAATATTTAAGTTATGAGAGTGTCTTTTTAAGCGAAGATTGACACTTTTAGATGAAAATCCCCGATTGCTCAATACTCGCATACTCAAGTCACTCAACTACTCCTAATTCAAGTACTTTTTTACGCAAAAGTCGACATTTTTCGATGAAATCTCCTGGTTACTCAGTACAAGAATCGTTGGAGTAAAACTCTTATTTTACTCTCTTCTTGTTTTCTTTTTCTCTTTTTTTTTTCCTTCTCTCTTTTTTTTTGTTTTTGAAAATATACAATCCCTCTTAAAACAATATATATAGAGTAGGAAGAGTATCACTTAATTCACTCTATCAATTACTTAGTTGTAGATTTAAGTAAAAGGGGGAATCTCATTAAACAAGTAAATATAAGTATAATTCTCCCTACTTCACCCAATATACTTTTTAAAATGCAAAAATCCTAACTACATATTAACTAATTCCAAGTTACATGGGAAATGAATTATTCAAAAGCACATTCCAAAATCCAATAAGTAGGGGAGTTAACGACTTGAAGGTAACTTTTGTAGACATCTCTCAAACATTTTGGGCCATAGTGAAATTTTAAAAATATTTTGAAAAAAATTTGATAGAGTTTCCCCTTAAAACTGGATGAAACTCCCTACCAGCAAACCCAAATTTCAAAAAAAATTTCAACATGGCAGTATTTCCAAATCATGATCCAATATATTCAACACAAATTCAGTCAACAATCATCATCACATAGTTATAAAAAACAATTTAAACATATTCTCCTAAACCTATCCCCCTCCCCCACACTTGAAATTCACATTGTTCTTAATATGAAGGATAGGAAAAAGATAAAGGTGAAAGCAATACTCCCCTTTGTAAGCAAGTGAAGATCAAGACAAGTTATGATGTTCTCCCTAGCTTTAAACACAAAAGAAAATAAATGAAACGACAAAGTTTAACTAGAGTGATTAGCATTAGGTCAATCCAAAGAAACAAAAAGAAGAAAAATGGAAAAACACACTAAAACTACATCAAGTTTGCAAAGTAAATGCAATATCAAAAGAAGAAGGGCAAGCATGGCCAGCATGCTCGTGTCTCTCAAGTTTCTTCATCTCCTTGCTGAGGCTGTGGTGACAGAGAAGCTCGGATGGCAAGTTGTCTTACAATATTCGGGAGACATTTAGCATTTTGTTGATTCTCTGAATACTTTGGTCAACTTTAGCTTCAATGCATAGAAGTTTGTCCTACATCTTCAGCCAGCTAGAGCGAGAATCAGCTAGGGCTGTCGAGAAACCCCCTCTTGAGCTTGATGTTGTGTGCCACTTGACCCTCACCTTGGACTAAATTTCTATCAAAATTGGTATTAATCTTCAACTTTCGACAAGTAGGCTTCCCAAAAATGTCATTGGAATCCATCAAGGACTAAGGAAGATGGGCAAGAGCAACTCCTTTCTTCTCAAATACCAATGTGAGGTAACAGGCATACGGTAATGCATGCTAAGGGTCATGACTTTGGGCAATTATCCACATATGATTAATAATAATACTCCCCAATAACAGACCAGGGACATTTCCTGACCTGTGAACCATCTTATCCAAAAAATAAATGTCACCAACTTTGGCCTCATTGAACCCAATTGACTTCAGAAAAATGTTGGAATTACATCGATAGACAAAAGGTTGATGGTCTTCTTGAAAGGATGAAGTGAGAATGAGGAGTGTTGAGAAGTTTGAGTAGTGGAATATTCAATGTGCAATCAAGCAAGTGCCTCAGAAACATCCCATTCATCTCCATGCAAAGGTTGAAATGCCTTCTTAAATTGAAAGTCAGGCCCCTTATTAAGCATGTTCAACCAATTGAAAGGATCAGTTCTCATAAGGACTATAGTCTTTCTTCGAACCCAACATTCAATCGTCTCATGATCAGGTGCATGAGCATGATACTTGGTTTTGTTTACTACATTCGCATAAAATTCTTAAACAAATTCTCTATAGTAGTAATTGGGTAAATTGAAGAACCTATCCCTTCCAAGTTTTGCGAATTGAGACTTACTATGATAGTGATTCTCAATATCGGGTGTGATATTCTTCTCTACCAACACTTTAGCCTTAAACCAGTGATTGTACCATGTTTCATTCTCAGCGGAAGTGAATCTAGCCGTATCATATGGTGGTCCCGTCTCTTGCACCTCCTCCTTTTATTGTTGTTCCTCTTCTCCCTCTGATGAAGTTGGTTCAACAATAGAAAGTTGCCGTTTTGCTGTCTTTTTAATCCAAGCACCCCAAGAAGTAGAAGAGGAAGCGATATTTTTTCGCTTAGGGGGATTTGATTTTCCAGCAGCACTTTTAGAACAGACCATTGTACCTAGTAATCAATTGTTAATAAATCACTGTGAACTCTCAAATGTTGCAAATGGATTACACTACAACAAAAATGGTCTTTTCTGACATGTCTATAAGGACACTTGCTGGTTTGTGCCAACACTTCTATCATGACACTAGTTATCAACTCAATAATATATACTCTAATTTTTTTTATTTTATTTGACATAAAAATAATAATGTACCTTTAGACTCCCTATTATGACACTTGTGGAAATGTGAGATACACCCAAAAAAAATTAAAACACAAAACGATGTCGTTTGATTTTGGTGGAAGATCCCTTTGCCAAAACACTTAGTGAAATCTCAAAATTTCATTTTGCCTCCCAGTGAAATTTTGCTTCTTCTCTATCTCTCGCAGAAACTCTCTCTCTCGGCAAACTATCTCTCAAAACTCTTGGCCAAAATTTTGCTTTCCCGCAGAGTTTTTTCTGTTGAATCTCTCCGCAATCAAACTACCCTTGCTTTCCCATTGAAGGGATGTAATTGCATGATAAATTTTTGCCCTAAATTGATTTCTCTCGGTTGCCTAAATTTTTGCCCTCCGCCTCTCTCGGCCACTCTCCTCTCCTCTGCTCCCTACCTCCGCCGTCCCGTTGCCCCTACTCCTTCCCTCTCATCATCAGGTTTAGGTTCGTCAAAACCAGAAAATGGAACAACATGACATCGAAAAGGACGAGTTCGGATTCTCCAGAAATTATTTCTTAGCAAACGAATTAGGCAATTCCGGTAAGAAATCCAGCCGCATGCTCGCAGATATCGATGTCATCGATGAACAGGTTATACTCTGCAATTTTTCTATATGTAAATTTGGTTGGTGGTTTCCTGCAAAAAGAGTTACCTTTTTGGGCCTTTTTCCTTACTGAATAATGTAGGAGCTAAGGGAAGCCCTCGCCCATCTCCCCATCATTTCTAATTTCCAAACTGGTGTCCGATGAAAATTAGGGCTCTGAGTCTGAGAGAGACCTTAGATTTAGGGCAGTATTCGCAGCATCTGCAGTTATTCTTTCTTCGATTTCAGTGATCAGCAGCAAATGTCGCCTCCTCCTGGACCCTACTCTGGCACCAGCACTCTCGCCTTGGTTAACCATCCACCTCCGCCAGCTTTAATTTCTCACAATTTCATTGATGTCTGATCTAATTCGGATTTTTTTTCGTTTTCGTATAACTGGTGGCAGGTGGCTCGTGCTTCAGCCTTCACGTTTGGAGTCGTCTATGGAAATTTGAAGCTTAAGTATCTTAAGGTATTATTCTCTATTATTTTTCTATTTTTCTCTAATTTTTTGAAAATTTTCTTTTGTTTACTTTTGTCTGATTTTGAGCTCTTTTTGGGTAATTATTTTTTGTCATTTGGTGATTTGGGTTTACATAGTCAGAAATGAACATGTAAGGATATCTGTTCACTTTTCTGTTCTGCACTTTTGTTCACTTGAAAACTGCTTTTCTGTTCTGCTGTAAGAATATCTGTTCCATGGCACCATATGTCAGAGAGAGCTGTAATGCTATTGAGATTTGTACAAATTCATTAAACATAGGATAAATAGTTGATAATGCAAATGTTTGTACTTGTCATGAGTTCAATTTGTGTGACAAAGTAATGTATTTTCATTTATTTTATTTGAGTATTTTGTTGGCTTTGGGCTTTCATGACACCGTGACTCTCAGGCCAGAATATTGCAAAACCCATTCTGGCTACGTATCCTTCTCAAATGTCTCAAATGGCCCTGCTTCTGATCATTCCGTTGTGAAGATATCAAGTAGGAGTCATGTGTTTGTGCATGACTATCAGAGGCCTACTTACAAATCCTGGGGTGACGTGACTCAATACTATAAGAGAAGAAAGGAAGCTTATCGTGCTGAACGGACTTCTAGTTTGCCTAGTTTGACAGATGGAAGTGATCACAAATTTAGACAACAAAGCACTGATAATGACTTATCTTGTCCATCTACTAGTAATTCACCTCTCTTGTTCAAAAATGTTCATGATTCAGCTTGTTCTTCAGGAAACCTTAGCCTACTGAATATCGTAAGTGTGAATACAATTGCACCAGATCGTAAGATAAAGGACAACTTTTCAAGTAGCAGACAGTCTTATACATCAAATAGCCAACAAGCAGATATACACTGGAAAATGTCTTTGAGGACAATGCAGTTACCTCCAAAGTCTTCCCAACCTAAAATTTCCCTGCCAAAATTATTCGAAGAACAGAAAGAAAAGTATCCCACAATTGATAAAGGCAGTGCTCATAATGTAACAAAAAGAGAGGCTGCTGCTGAAAAGTCTGTTGGTGTTGACAAAATAAATGGAACCCTCACAGGAAAAGGATCTGTGGAACCAGAAGCTATTATCCAGTCAAATCTTCGTGAGAGGCTTGGTTGCATTTATGACAAGGTTCTTGTGGTTGATACTGTCTCTGCTGCAAAGGAAGTAGTTGGTATGCTCACAAATCAATACAGGCATATGGTCCATGTATGTGACACGGAAGTATGTTTTTCATTTGACTTGCTTTTTGACTATTTTACATTTGCATACAACCAGTTGAATTCTGTACTTTAATTATCTTATTTGCTTAATATTCATGTTCTCTCCAGTAGCATTCAATTTTTTTTTGGGAGCTCATTTTACTGGTTTCTGCTAATGTCTAGGTATCAAAGATTGATGTTAAGCAGGAAACACCAGTTGATCATGGAGAAATTGTATGCTGCAGTATTTGTTGTGGACCGGAAGCGAATTTTGGAAATGGCAAGTCTTGTATCTGGGTAGATCTTCTTGATGAGGACGGGAGGAATCTTTTGGCTGAATTTGCTCCTTTTTTTGAAGACCCGTCAATTAAAAAGGTAAAGATTTTTTGTATGTAATTCTGTGTGGGGCTCTTTGTTGCTCATCAGTTCTTCGAATGATTATATGGGAAACTGCACTGGCTTGTTTTTCTGTAGGTGTGGCACAACTATAGCTTTGATAACCATGTTATAGAGAATTATGGACTTAAACTTGCTGGTTTCCATGCCGATACAATGCACATGGCCCGATTGTGGAATTCATCAAGAAGATTAGAAGGTGGGTATTCTCTGGAAGCCCTTACTGTGATTCTTCTGTCATATCCGATGCTAGGTTATGCCTTGGTGAAGAGTTGATTGATAAGGTGTCAATGCAAAACCATCTTTGGGAAGAAAAAAATATCTGTTCACTTGAAGCTCCTGATCTGTGCAGAGCAATGAGTGGTGTAGAAAGGTTGAAATTGAATGGGGAAACCATGCCCTATCCAACAGAGTTCAGGAAGCTGTCCAGGCAATGTTAAACTTTGTCAAAAGAGAGGGCCCCAAGGGATGGGATGACCCATGGAGTTAAATATCAACTTTTTTTTCCTTTTTTTTTGAATTGTTATGTCATTGAATTCAGGCAATGGCGGTCCTCCTTTTAGTTGTTTGATTTTTTTATAGGTACGGAATGGCATCTATAGCGAAGTTAGTAGATTAGTATAGTTTCTTTTCTTCTGAAAGAACTTAGAGTTTCAATGGAAAGTTCAAAGACTTGTATATCTGACATAATTGTGGCATGAATGAAGTGAAGGATTATTTGTTGTTCTACATTGGATCTTGGTGTTATTATATGGTGTGATTAATTTCTCTTTACTTATGTATTCCTAGCAATTAAAAGTGTTAGCATAGCGTAGCTTCTAAAGCAATATTCTAATGTGGTAGAATAGCTATCTTGACACTTTCAATTATCAAGAAAAATATTTTTGTTGGTAAATGAGATGCTATAACAACATAGTTTTCCTGACACATTTTAATGCTACGAGGCTATCCCCACATTGGAAGGGACAACACTCGTCCCAGGTGTGAGGAAAGGTAAAATGTCAGCTTAGATTATCTATACTGACACCTTTAAATGCCGCTAAAGGACATTTTTGTTGTAGTGTTAATTACTAGAGTAAGAGCATACAAGGACCCTAGATGTGTAGGGAATTATCTTATAACAACACCTAACAACACCCACACCCGCCTAGAGAACTCGTAACACCTTTAGCCACCAATTTCATGACAACCTTAATTAAAGACTGTAAACTATTTAAGTACAAATTTAAAGTTGCCAAGTAATTACTGAAAATCAAGAGAAATGTATTTTAAAAAAAATACCATCTCCAACTTGCTTAATGCTTGCATTCACATCCTATATATTTTTTTATAAGTTCACAATCACCACAAGCTTCAATATATTAAAGAAAAATGCCACTTACACTTTGTAAACATGCTATAGAATATAAGAAAATGACTTTTCTTAATTCATCTCATAACAACAATTCCATCCAACACAAGCAAATGAGCCTGCTTAAGGAAGTTAAATGAGCTCAATGAAACATCAAAACAACCACAAAGATTCACCAAAAATTTGGTCAAACAATGTAGCAAATTTCAACCATGGTAAAATTGAAATAAGCCAATTAAAATCAAGAAACTTACTTGGGACTTGTAGAGTGCTTAAATGCAAAGCAATTGATGCAAGGAACCTGTAGACACCAAAATTTTTCCAAGAAAAAAATCAAATCATGTTTATTTTTATTGCTTAATTAATCATTTTTATTTTTGTGTTATTTTGTTAGAAAAAGGAGAAAAGGAATATAAAAAAGAAAGTAGATATTTTCTTTTGTTCCAAACCTAATCATATTCCTCAAAATCCAATAAAAAATTACCCTTAAAATCCAAGCCAAAATTCCCAAAAGCCCAAGGCAAAACCCAAAATAAAAGAAAGAAAGGAAAAGAGGCCCATTAGCCCATGCATTTTGTTAAAAAAAAAAAAATCTGTAGCCTCACGTTTCTTCTTCTTCCATTAGCAACGAACAAGAAAAAAGGCCGGCAGGATTTTTTTTTTTTTTGAGCTAGTTAGATTCCTTTTTTCTTGTTTATTTCTTTTCCCCCAAGTTTAGAAAGTACTAGGACACCTCATCACACAAAATCTATTAAGAAACAGCAGGCAAAATGAATCAAAAAGATCCAAGAAAGCCACATAAACCCATTTTCTTTTTGATCCCAACCATTCACCTTAGATTTTAGGGTTTCGTCCTATATATATAGAAAAAAATGCAGCTTTTGGAAAGGGAGGAAAAGTGAGGAAAGTTGGCTAAGCATCAGAGAAAGAGAGAAGAGCAAAAAATAAGAAAAGAAAATTTTTCTGCAAATAAAAAAACTAAGCCAGGGTTGACCGAACAACCCGGTTCATCACTTGATTTCGACCAATTCCGACCTTCTTTTGAGGAAATTGATTTTTTTCGCATTATCTCTAGTTGTAGGGGAGCAACTTTTGTTTTGAAAACTTCCTGAAAAAACGTCGTTAAACCAATGTTTTCAAACCCGGACCGGACGACCGGCCGGTTCGACCAGTCGAACCGCGAACCGGCCATGTGCCCGGTCCGGTTCATAGCTTGTGTTGACTTGGACCTAGAACCGGTCAAACCCGTAAAAAACCGTTGAAACCGTTAAACTCGGATTGAACCGTGAACCGCGGTTTTTAAATTTTTCACAAAATTGACTGAATTTTGACCGAAATTAACGAGTAAACCTAGTCTTCACAAGAAAATGGCAAATCCAGTTCTCTTCGTCCCTCCCTTTCTGATGAGAAAAGACTCAAGAAAAAATCTACAGCCGAACTTTGACTAGCCTACCGATTGAGAAGTTGCTTTCATCGTGGACTGCCGAGCAAGGGAAAGAGCCTTTGGGAAAGCTTCCGATCTATGAGTTCTCATTTCGTCTTAAAGCCTTCTCAGGAGCTCGAGTCCTCGGACATTGATGGCTAGGGAAGAGGGTAATTTGCCCGTTCACAAAATCAAAAGAAAAGACATTCCATTTCCATAGCTTTCATCCTGGCTGGCAGCCTAGATTGAGCCCCGGGACTGTTAAACAAACCCAGTAGGCTTTATTCCACATTTTCTCATGCGCCGCATTTGCTCCACAGCTCCGGGCTGCCTCCAGATCCCCCAACTTCCCAGCCAATTCGAAGGTGTTGCTGGAGATTTTCATCGGTTGTGCGGGCAGCTTCATTGTGGAGAGGCAGGACGGAAGGGAGGGAAGTCTTCACTCCAGTCTTCACAAAAGATCTGGTTTGTCGTCCAATTAGATAAGGTATATATCTTTTTTTTGGTTTGTCCTCAAATTAGATAAGCTGATCATTCTGTTTGTCCTGCAATTTTTTTTACTCATTAGTTGGCTTTGTTGTCTGGCTTGAAGATTGTAGCAAAGCTGAATCAGTGGGTTTTTTTTTTATCTTATTGCTGGCTTGAAGACTCGTTAGTTGGCTTTGTTGCATGTTGCAGTGATGAGCTCGTTGGTTGTTGCAGTGTTTCTCTCTTTGTTGTCTAAAAATTGGTAGTAGCATTCACTACAAGAAATTTGGTTATTAGTGACAACATTTCCTAGTGACGAAAATTAGTCGTCACAAAATGGGGCCCATTAGCCACAACACGAAAAGTTGTCACAATTGACTGAAAGGAGCAAAGGCATCAGTGATGACCTTGGATTGTCGTCACAGACACAGTTGAACTCCCGCCACATCGCGCTAAACTACATCAGCGACGACTATCTAAATGTTGTCAGTAATAATTCCCCTTTCTTTGACAACTTGGTTGTTGTTGTCACTGATAATAATGGAACTAGTTAGTGACAACTTTCTCTTGTCACGATCTAATTTAAAATATTTATATACTACAACAATTGTTATTCTATATTTGCTCTCTAATGAATTTTTTAACTGTTAGGAACTCAAATTTTGTCATGTAAATTAATATTAGTGCAATAATTTAAAGTGAAATTAACCATTTGAAACAAATTATCTCTCCTTATTATAAAATAACAAAACAAAATTCTGGAGTATTGGGCAAAAATAATGGAAAGAAAGATAAATAAGTTGTAATTTAGTTCACAATTTTGAGAAAATGATATCAATATTAATATCGGATCAACTATT